ACTCCAGTTTTATCCTTCAGCTCAGCTACCCAGCCATCCACTTTTCAGGCACTTCCCTGGACCCCCTTCTCTGCCATCTTGGTCACCTCATGCCTGCCTCACCCGTGTGGTCCCCACTGTACCTTTGCTGAAACTAGCCTTCCAGCCCGAACGCCTTCACCTGTGTCCATAAGACTCCCCAAGGCCTATTTTTTAATATCCAAAAATTTAAACTTACAGAAGATGGAAACCAAGTCTTTATTTTTACACCCATCAATGCCTTACAGGTGGTAAGCCCCAAGCAAATGTTAAATGAATAAATACTTACCTTTTATTCCTTTTTTTTCCCCTCTATTCCTAAATATAACCTGGAGTAAATATATCCCCCAGGTTGAGGCCTTCTATTTGTATAATGCTTTAGACTTTCCAAAAGTTATGACATAACAGTTACGAGGGTTCTAACCATTGGTCTTCCAGTTACCAGCTATGTGACCTTGGCAAAGTTACTTAAGTAACCTCTCTATGCCTCACTTCTGTCATCTGTGAAATGGAATGATAAAGGTAACTACCTGATAAAGAATTTTTAGAAAGATTAAATAAAATATTATTTATAAAATGCTTAGAACAATGTCTGTACACATAGTAAGCATTATGTAAGTTTTAGCTAAACATACATATTACATATATGCACATATATAAATGGTATAAATAATATGTACATGAAATCTGTCCAGAAGGTATCCAGTCATGTAATAGGAAAAATAGAGACATTTCTTGAAGAAGACACAAGATACAAGAAACACTGTACATAGGACAATGATGCCTCAGTCCCCTTCAAAGTGGGCACCTCAGGACCTCACACAGTTCTACCAATTGCCATCAGCTGCCCCATCGTATTTTCCTGAATCTCATCCATGGTATGAAATCTCTTCCCTTTCCAAGGTGATTTTAGCTTTGCGAAAAGCCAGAAGTCACAGGCACCAAATCTGGGCTGTAGGGGAGCTGAGTCATCTGGGTGATTTGATGTTTCACCAAGAAACCTGCACTATACTTGATGCATAAGCGGGCATGTTGTCATGATGAAGCTGCCAATCACCAGCAGCCCATAGCTGTGGCCTTCTGAGTCATCCAAATAGTTTCTGCAGAGGAATGTTCAAGCTTAATAAGCAAAATTTGATGCAGATTCATTGCTCTACTCAGTCATTTTGAATGCAATAGCCACACAGTACACATGCTCACTCAATGGTGTCTACCACCCGCACTGACTAATATAGTGAAGTAGTCATTGTTCATGCATGCACATTCTAGTCCACTCTTTTTGGCAGCGAGGTTACATTGATATTGCACAAACCATTGTCATTCTATTAACAATGGGTAGACTTTGTCCAGACAAACCTCATATGTGCCATATATATACTAAGTACTCTCAGTAAAATTGAAATTGCACATACGCAGGCAAGCACAATTGGCATCCACAACAACCTTGTAAGATAAGCAGAAGTGTTAAATAACTTCCCCACAGCTAGTAACTGGTAGATCTCTTCCTGGAACCCTGTCTTCTAACTTCTGAGCCCGAAGTCAGAAAATAGAACCTATAGCCTTAATCCACGGATCTTCTCTAACATGGATAGTTTTTAAATACATAATGATTTCTTGATGCTGAATATTGAAATTTACTATAGATATTTTAATTATTTTCATTTAACATGCAAGAGTGGTGTCAGATACAGTATATGGGTCAGGGAAGATTTTGTAGTCTCACAAAGTCCATGATGTGGTCACTTACTTGACTATATTCTTCCTGCAATTAAGGAAAGATGGAGCAGAAAGATAAATTCAATGTGTTCAATAGAGAATTATGTATGGAGTTTTAATCTAGATTTCAAACAGGGAAATATGCTACTGGACGACATTTAAATGAATATAAGCCTATCAGTATTTGGTACCAAAGACTTGTGTTTGCATTAAGCTGATGGAGAAGCTGTTGTTTTCTTTGCCATGTGTATTGAAAATGCACCTTTGGAGGGGAAAAAAGCTTTCTTTTCCTTCTCTGAAAAAGAGAACTGTCAGTTATTTTATTTTCTATACAGAATACATTAAACTTCTGTCAACAGCTTTTTAAATAATGCAGTTTGTACTTGCATTCATTATCTGCAATTAGATTTCTCAAAGAAGCTTTTAGTGTTTTTCTCCACAACTTTTAAAAATTCATTCATTTTAACTGTTAACCTAAGTCAAATTGGAAAAATGAACAAAGACGTTTCTTTCCTGTACCTTGCCATGGAAGTGGGTAAAGAACCCTCAGCGATTGTGCTAAACCACATGATGAGATATTTACACCCTTTTCTTGCTAGTGTTAGGTCAGACTCAAATGTTTTCCTTTTAACCCAGCTAGTTAATAAGAAATGCCATGTTGGCAGGCAGCTTGGGATCCCTTACTTCTTAAGGCTGAGTTTGTGCAAATTACCTCCTTACACCAGTCCTCAGCATCTAAGGAGTCAGGAGATCAGTTCTTTTCTCTGCGATGTATTTTTTAAAAAGATTTCTTAGGTACCCACGGCTGTCTGGGATGCCCTTTCATCCAGCTGTGATGGCAGTCACGTGTCCTCATTTCTTCTTTTCTGTGAGCAAGAATACAGAAAGCTGAGCAACGTGTGTGTGCACGCGTGTGATAGAAAGCGGGGGTGGGGGGTTTGTTTTTTTTCACCCTCTTATTTGAAGATGTAACTGGAACCAGCACCCAAATGGTATGTGGGTTTGCTTTGGGCAGGGAATATAAACAGAGCCAAGCCTAGAAATGCAAGGTGTGTAGTAGATCCATTGACCTCGCTGTTTGCCCAGCTGCAGGGTGACTCCCTTTTCATTCCCCAGCTGCCCAGATGCTTCCTAATGCTTTTTTTCTTAACTGAAGTAGTTAATCAAACTCCCTCCTACAGGTCTGATAATTAATAAAAACATACAACTTTGCAGTTACATGCCACTCAGAAAAAGCTGCCATAGTTTATAGGTTAGCACTTTGTTCTTGTTCAGCAATGCCTTCCACTTAATTTGCTGGCTTATATTTTTAAGGAAAGACATCATTAGATTTTACTAAAATAAGTCAAGGTTCTTCATTAACCCCATGTTTTACGCTTCAAAATAGTCATCCTGAGAATGTATAGTAAGTTAAACCATTAAAAATGCTGATGTTTTAAATCCCCATTTTAATATAACCTTCACAAAAGCAATTTCATATGGTTCAACCTAAGTAAATGTATTTATTCCAGTGGTGCTTCCAGTGCCCAAACTATTTTATAACTCATTTTGAAATGAGAAAAATCAAGTTCCTTACTTCAAAACATTACATTAATCTCAACTTCTTAACAACTGTACCTTAATTACAAAATTGTCTCTGGTTATGTATAAACGAAATAAAATCTATCTTCTTTGGATGAGAATTTGACATAATTTGAGAGAAAGTGCTACCACCATTACTTGAGTGCTGACCCTGGTGTGTTCCTTGCTACGGTTGCATTGGAGTCCTCACACCTTATGCATGTTGCTTCTTTTAAGGAGTATAACTGTGCTCAAAATAAACAAGTTTCAGAATTGGTCCAGATGTCTGACTCTGCAAATAAAAGCAGATTGAAATTATGTGGAAAGACTGATTTTCAGGTAAACTATCTGAAAACCTGTTACTCTTCTTTACCTAAGAAGAGATTATATCCAAGATATAATAGATTTTATTAAATGTATAAAAATTAATAATTTATTATTTGAGAAAATATTAAGCATATATGTTATCTAAAGTGTTTTGAGAGATTATAGATGGTTTATTTTTTCAAGTTAGCAGAGTGTTAAATTGGCACATGTTTCAAAAGCCTCAGAAATGGGTCTGTTCTCTAACCTTGCAATTCTCCTTTGGAAATGTATCCTAGGAAATATAACACAATTTTGTGAACAAATATTTCTGTAATAAAATACAACCAAATTTTTTAATAATTAAGAATCCATTATATGTTTACAGTATACATGGAAAGGATACCATGCAAATTTCGTGTTCTATATATTTCTAAATTTATTAAAGTGCAAACTCTGTGTATCATTTCTAAGAGAAAAGGTAAGATAGGCTATACATCAAGGAGTTGAATAAAGCAAAAAGTTGAAATATCCTAAAATGTTCAACAATAGGGAATTAGGTTAGTTATGGTACACTCATATAAAGAAATACTATACAGCCCTTAAAATTATGTTTTAGAAGAATATTTACTGATATAGGAAAATGTTCTGATATATTAAGTAAAAAAAAGGTCATAGGACATTAAAAATGGTAATACAATATGATCCCAGTTTTTTAAAAGGAGAAATGGTATATGTCACTTTAAAATGAAGTGTGTGTATATGTGTGTATATTTTCATAACAAAAAGACTGTAAGGCTATATACCCAAATTTTACTAGTGGTTACCTCTGCTTGCTTTTCCTTTCCTTCTTTTTTTCTATTGTATGTTTTCTACATTGAACATAAATTATTATTTTGTGGTCAGAAAAACAATATTTATAAATTAAAACTATGCTTGAGCCCTACTATTTATGTTTTATATTTTGACAAGCAGATTTTCAGCAATAAAATTTAGTAAGGGCTGTACTCATTTAGAGTTTGTTTTTTTTTAAGTAAATCCAAGGTTAGGCTAAAATTTATCCATGAAAAATGGTTTATTCTGCAAATTAATAATGCAGAGGAGATTTTAGAGAAACACTTTGAAGCTTAAGGGACTTTTCAAGTACACTGAAAACATGCCTAAGACTCTAAATCATTTTTTCATCAAGGCCTATCCCCTAAGTACTTCTTGCTGGCAGGTGAATTTAATTTGCATGTTTCTATTTGCTTTAGGTAGAAGCAATATTCCATAATTCATCTATTTTACTAACAATCTGAAAGTTGGAAGGTGATATTTTTAACGTACGTGTCAGATAATGGTTTCCATTTACTCTCTAAGTTACAAACAGACGTCTTTTAACAATTTGGGTTACATTTTTGCAGGTGATGAAAACATACCATATGTATCATGCAGAGAGCATCAGTGCCGAGAGCAAGCTAAAAGAGGCTGAGAAACAGGAAGAAAAGCAAATTGGAAGATCCGGCGATCCAGTCTTTCATATTAGACTAGAAGAGAGACATCAGCGGCGAAGCTCTGTGAAGAAAATTGAAAAAATGAAAGAAAAGGTAAGTAAAAGTAGATTGCCAAGTCTTCGTGTCCTCACTTGAGAGGACTTACTATCCTCAATTAAGGTGGCAGACTGAAGAACACTGATGCAATAACTGATAGACACACATTGTAAATTATTGTGAAATGACATGGATTTCCTCCCATGGGAATGCACAATGTTTAAGAAATATAAAAATCATGTAATAACAGCTGGACACCATTTAGTGGTGAATGCCAAGTATTCAATACACAATGTAGAGAACTTGAATATTAACAGAGCGGCTTCACTGCAAATGGGACTAAAGCCCAAATACATTGTTGTTATTCCCCGTAGCCGGGTAATTTTAGTTTGTTATTCAAATCAGATTTGAAATGTACTTTCCTCAAAGGACTTCAAAGGTCATTTGTAGATGTAGAACAAATTGTTTACATTAATAAAAATTCATGTATGTTTCTCTGTCTTGTTTAAAAATGACTTTGTTTTCTTTCCCAATGCCTGGATCTTCATTGCCAGAGACAAGCAAAGTATTCAGAAAATAAGCTAAAATCAATTAAGGCACGGAATGAGTATCTCCTAACCCTTGAAGCAACCAATGCCTCAGTTTTCAAGTATTATATTCATGATCTTTCAGATTTAATTGATGTAAGTACTTGAAGTTTTTATGTTTTCCGTATTAGGATGAAATTAGTAATAACTCTATTTTACTGATTCTAAAACACCATCATTTATTAAAACAATGTTATTTTATGTAATATTCAGAAAGAAAAACACTACTAATTAAACCATACGTGAGACTAAGACACTCTCAACTATAGGATACATATGAAAAAAGGTACCTTCTAAAACCATGAAAAAAAAATTATTAGATTCTGTCAAGCTGTGAGTGCCTGGTAAATCAGCTAGGAAGGGGAGCCAGCCATTTTCAAATTACACAGTGCACAGCCCCAGCTGCATTCATTGATTCAAAAATACATTTATTGGGCCCCTACTACTGTGAGATACTGAGGCTATGAGAAGCCCTGTACAGTTCTTACCCTCTGGAATTTAAATGGAAAAGGGAGATGTTGAGCAAATGATGACACAAATGATCGCTTTAGTATAGTTGTGATAAATACTGTGAGACAAAATAGTGCACATAAACCACTTTTATAGATTTATCTCTCAGTACCAGCGATTTTCAACTGGTATGCCGCAGCACACCAATGTGTTGCAAGGATTTTTAGAACATACAATACCTACTAGTTAGTCAGGGTCACTGACCTCTTTTCTGTTAGATTGTCAAATAAAAAAAAACGACAGCAGCCAACACAACAATAACCATCGAATGCGAATGAATCAAAATTATACCTGCCCTTATGGTTGTGGCTCAGTTGGTTGGGTGTTGTCCCACAACAGGAAGAAGGATCGCCCGTTCGATTCCTCCAGGGCACATGCCTGAGTTGCAGATTCAGTCCTGGTTGGGGCTCATATGAGAAGCGACCAATTGATGTTTCTCTCTCCCATTGATGTTTCCTTTTTTTCTCCCTCCCTTCCCCTCTCTCTAAAAAATAAATAAATAAAATCTTTTAAAAAATTATACCTATTTTTTTTCAGATCAGCAAAACCTAAATTTTTTGGCAGTGCCACATAATTTTAGTAATTAGTTTATGTGTGCCATGAGATGGAAAATGTTGAAAATTGGCGCTCTATACTTTCACTCATGGGATCTGAAATAGAAAAGCAGTAATTGCGCTCATTTAGAACTCTGCAAGTATATACCCACTGTTATATTTTTGCAGTGATTGCTGCCATTATTTCTCAACTTTAACCTTCTGCATTATTTATTCCTTCATCGGAAAATGTGTACTGAGATCCCAGTCGTTGTGCCAACACTGTAGAGGAGACTGCAAAGAAGGATGAAACAGACAAAAACCCTGTGTCCAAAAATGTCAATATTTGTAAATAAAAAAGTGATATGTCATAAGAAAAGCACAAAGTAAAAGGGGTTCAGAGAGTTATCCACAGGAACTTTACTCATATATTGGCTTTTAGTGATTGGATTAAATAGTTTCATATGAGAGAATTATTTTCTATGGCTTATAGTATCTTTCATAATTTAGACATGCAGTAGGTTAAAGCAACTTTATTTTATGGTGAATTTAAATCTCATGTATCTACCTATTATTTTAGAGCCATAGTAGAGGAATTTTACAAAGGAATTGTTAAGGGTGGGGATTATTTTTAGTTTATTAACACTTTGATGTGACTTTCGTGAGTTTAAAAAAAAAAATTTTGTTATATTTTTTCCATTACAATTTAACCCCCTTAGAGCAATCTCCCCTCCACAATCACCGCATCGTTGTCCACGTCCATGAGTCCTTTTTCCTTTTTGCTCAGTCTCTCACCCCCTAACTTCCCCTCTGCTTTAGCTGCCACCCTGCTCTCTATCTATGAGTCTGTCTCTGTTTTGCTTGTTAGTTCATTTTGTTCATTAAGTTTCACATATGAATGAAATCACATGGCATTTGTTGTTCTCTGATTGGTTTATTTCACAAAGCATAATGTTCACCAGCTCCACCCATACTGTCAAAAAGGGTAGTTTTCCTCTCTTTTTTTTTTTATACAGCCAAATAGTATTCCATTGTGTAACAACTTGATGGACGCTTGGGCTGCTGATTGTAAATAATGCTGCAATGAACATAGGGGTGCTTATGTTCTTTCAAATTAGTGTTTTGGGTCCCTTAGGATATATTCCCGGAAGTGGGAGTGCTGGGTCAAAAGGCAAATCCCCACACTGCTTTCCACAGTGGCTGCACTGATCTGCATTCCTACTAACAGTGCAAAAGGGTTCCCCTGTCTCCACATCCTCGCCAGCACTTGTTTGTTGATTTATTGATGGTAGCCATTCAGATAGGTGTGGGATGGTATCTCATAGTGGTTTAATTTGCGTTTCACTGATGATTAGTGACATTGAGCATCTTTTCATATGTCTATTGGCCGTCTGCATGCCTTCTTTGGAAAAGTGTCTATTCAGGTCCTTTGCCCATTTTTTAATTGGCTTGTTTGGTTTTTTGATGTTGAATTTTATAAATTTTGGATATTAACCCCTTATCAGATGTGTCAGTGAATGTGTTCTCCCAGTCTATGGGTTGTCTCTTTATTTTGCTGATGTTTTCCTTTGCTATGCAAAAACTTTTTAGTTTGATGTAGTCCCATTTCTTTATTTTTTCTTGTGTTTCCATTTCCTGGGGTGATATATCAGATAAAATATTGCTACAAGCAGTGTCTGAGATTTTTCCGCCTATGATTTTTATGGTTTCAGGTCTAACATTTAAGTATTTTAATCTATTTTGAATGTATTCTTATCTGTGGTGTAAGAAGGTAGTCTAGTTTCATTTTTCTGCATGTATCTGTCCAGTTTTCTCAACATCATTTATTGAATAAGCTATCTTTAGTGTGTTGTATGTGCTTGCTTTCTCTGTAAAATATTAACAACCTGGATGAAATGCATAAATTCCTAGAAACATACAATCTTCCAAAAGTAAATCAGGAAGAATCAGAGAATCTGAACAGATTACACCTACTAAAGTTGAAGCAGTAATCAAAAAACTCCCAAGAAATAAAAGCCCTGGACCAGATGGCCTCACAGGTGAATTTTACCAAACATTCTAAGAGGAACTAACACCTTTCCTTCTCAAACTCTTCAAAAATTCAAGAGGAGAAAAGGCTCCCAAACTCATTTTATGAGGGCAGCATTTTCTTAATTCCAAAACTAGATAAATACACTACAAAAAAAGAAAATTATAGGCCAATATCCCTGATGAACATAGATGCTAATATCCTCAAAAAAATATTGGCAAACCAAATACAGCAACACATCAAAAAGATCATACACTATGATCAAGTGGGATTTATTCTGGGAATGCAGGGTTGGTACTACATTTCCAAATCAATGTGAATCACCACATAAACAAAATGAAGGATAAAAACCACATGATATGAAAAATCATATCAATAGTTGCAGAAAAAGCATTTGATACAGTCCAGCACCCGTTAATGATAAAAACACTAAGCAAGGCGGGGATAGATGGAACATACCTAAACATAGTAAAGGCCATATGTGACAAACCCACTGCAGCATCATACTCAACAGGCAAAAACTACAAGCGTTCCCCTTAAGATCAGAACAAGACAGGGATGTCCACTTTCACCTCTCTTATTCAACATAGTACTGGAAGTACTAGTCATAGCAATCAGATAAGAAGAAGAAATAAAAGGAATCCAAATTATTTGAGTCTTAAGACTAATTTTATCCCACAAAATCATGATTTCTTTATATGGAGCCATTTACCAATAAATAAAACCAGGGAAAACCTTTTTCTCTTTTCTTTTGTTACAGCCATTTCAATCAAGTAACTAGTCACTTAGTTGTTTAAATACAGAAACTTAAAAAATATTTATTTTCTTCTAGCTACTCTGATGAAATAAAAGAATTTTTTCTGCTATACTGCTACTGGATTTCCTAAATAAAAATAAGTAATTTTTTATTTTCAAATTTAGATCTGTACAAATTCTGCAAAGTATATGGAATATAGACCTGGTTCTATGTAACTGTTTTTGCTTGCTTTATTTTCTAGGACTTCCTTAAGAAGTGGTTGTAGTACTTGACTAACCCCAACTCAATTTAACATGAATAGAAATCTCCATGTATTAAGTACCAAGTACTATTCTTGACAATGGGGATCCGGCAATGAATACAACAAAGTCCCCATTTTCATGGCATTTATACAAGCTAGTTCATAAACAAATCAAACAAATGTGTACACACACACACACACACGTAGTAGTACAGTGTTATGAATCAAAATAAAACAGAGCTCTGAGGGTGCTGCTTTTGATGTTGTGGTTAGGAAAATCCTGATATTTGAGCATAGAATTGAGCAAGAGAGCCATATGGCTATCTGGGGAAGTAATCTCGTACAGGACTGCCAAAGCTAAAGGAATAGAGGCAGAGTTGTTTTGGGCAAGCTCAGGATGCTCAAGGAATAGCAAAGACACTGGTATGGCTGGCACTGAGGCAGCGATGGAGGAGAAAAGTACTAGAAGAGAAGGTAACTGGAAGCACTATCACGCAGGGTCTTTTCAACAGGGAACATGATTTAGATTTTGTGATGGGAAGCCACTGAAGGGTTCGCAGCAGCAAGTGACATCACCTGGTTTACATTTTAGACTCCCTCTGTCACCCGAGTGGAAAATAGACTGAGGTAGTGACAAGAGTGAAAACTGAACTCTATCTAGAGTCTTTGTAGTTGTCCAGGCTAGAGGTGATGCTGGCTTAGACCGCATGCTAGTGACGCACCTGTGAGAAGAGGCTGGATTCAAAATAGACTGAAGATGGAGGTAATAGGATTTTGCTCTAACAAGTGAAAAGGAGGGTAAAAATGACTCCTTGGGTCAGGTCCTGTGTAACTAGGTTAATGGTGGTAACTTTTACTGAGATAGGGACCCGGGGGAGGAGCAGGTTGAAGGGAGGGAGCAGTAGCTTTGTCTGAGTAAAATGGAGAAGTCTATTAGGCATCTGTGTAGAGATGTAGAGCATCTCCGATATTGTGATATAAAGGACAGAAACAGCATGTCAGGATTATAAGAGTGGCCATCGTTGT